CATAACGCTTTCTCCTTCGCTTTCGCACAAAACAAACGACTAAAACCTAAAAATAATTAATTTATTAGAAAATAATGTATACATATATACAGTACAGTACTTGTAGTACAGTATTATGCAAACTATTTATGAATTTTGTTTGATATAAGACTTACGATATTGAATAGGAGTAGAGAACTGCCCACAAGTGATACGATAAGAATAAGTTTCGGCAAATCTCCGGCCCTTTCGTTCATTATTTTCGATATTATTTTCTCGGTTTCCGTGACTGGAGTTTCTGTAAATGAAACATTTATTAAGTAAATGAGTTTGTAATGCAAGCATTTTAATGAATACAAACCTTTAAGAGTCTTAGCTTTGACGACATCACTGGTGAAGTCTGAGTAACCCAAAGAGTTAAGGGCCTGAACGCCAAATATATACTCCGTGTCCTCATTCAGACCAGTCATTAGTATTTGTGTGGAATTGGATGGGAATACATCTCTATACGAATAGGACGGATCGGTACTCAATGTGGGCCGGTATCGGAGCCTAAACTCCTGACCCAAACCACCATCAAAGCCGGGTATCCACCGGAGCTGTACTGCCGACTCAGTTATGTTAATCACTCGTAAAGCCAGCGGTGGATCAGGTTTTGACGTTCGGTTCAATTGGATGGTAATGGCGTCAAAACCGAGATCATTGCGCGCTAAGCACTGGTAGGCACCATAATCTTGACTCTGGACGTCCATAATGACCAGAACGCTCTGGAAGGTCACTAAATCCAACTGTTGGGTCGATTCAATCACGTATTTGATGTCCTTTTCTGATACATCCGACCCTTTCTTCAGTTTGTCGGCGTCTGCAGACACAGCGCCCACAGCTTTGGTTAATGTCTGGAGTATCTGTCCCTCGCGAGTCCACGTGAAAGTCACATTAGGAGCTGCCTGTGCTCTGCAATATAGTCTGCCATTGGATCCGTTATCAGTGGCCGACTTGGATATAATGGGCGATCTGTCTATTATTGGTTTATCTGTAATGAAATTAATTATTACAATTAAGTTGTTTATTGAATTAACATTATAATATTGCAAAATAGTTATAAATTATTTATAACACAAGGATTTTGTGAAATATTTGGAAATCAATGAATTTCTGATAAGAGAGTCAATGATTTAAATTCAATACTACATGTAGTCTAATAACTATAAATAGTAATGCATTGGAAAACAAATACTGAGCGAAAAGTATGTCTTTTTGTTTAAACTCCATATCAATGAGAATAAAAGTACTGGAAATAAAGAGTGATTTTTATTATTATTGTATGAATAATATAAAGAATTTATTATTTTTTCTTCACTTCTAATCTGAAACAACATTTACTTGTATTTCAATAGAATTCCAAGAATTTATTCTTTACTAAACTTTACGACAACAGAGAATAACAAAAAACTCTTTTTATCACTTATTTTATCGCTTGTATAGAGAGAGCCGTAAAATATTCTTCACATTAGGAACGGAACATAAAAATAGGAGTTTTTATGAATAGGAATTCACACAAAAATAGTGCACTTTTAGAAACAATAGTCAGTAAATGTGTTAACAGTTTAGCATAAATTCTCGAGAAAAATGTTTATTAAATAAAAAGTNGAGTGAATTGGTTTTGGTGGACGAGTGGTCCAACGCATACCTGGAGTGCAGTGTCGACGCCAACCCCACCACTGATACCACAATCCAATGGCGGCGTAAAGTCCGCAACGAATCGGACAGTTCTGTCGTCTCTCAAGAGATCGATTCCATGCGAATGCGGACAACCGTTGAGACCATTGACAGCTCCGGCGTTAGTGGACAGACGGGTTCCGTATTGAAGAGCACTCTTGTCATATACAACACGAGTTTGGAAGACTCGGGCCAACAGTTTGAATGTGTGGCCAACAATGGTGTGGGAGATGGGGACACAGCCGTCGCTACTCTACTTGTTTTGCGTAAGTCTTGACTCAAGAATTTATTTCCTCTTTATTCTTAATTTACTTTTTATTTAATAAACATTTTTCTCGAGAATTTATGCTAAACTGTTAACACATTTACTGACTATTGTTTCTAAAAGTGCACTATTTTTGTGTGAATTCCTATTCATAAAAACTCCTATTTTTATGTTCCGTTCCTAATGTGAAGAATATTTTACGGCTCTCTCTATACAAGCGATAAAATAAGTGATAAAAAGAGTTTTTTGTTATTCTCTGTTGTCGTAAAGTTTAGTAAAGAATAAATTCTTGGAATTCTATTGAAATACAAGTAAATGTTGTTTCAGATTAGAAGTGAAGAAAAAATAATAAATTCTTTATATTATTCATACAATAATAATAAAAATCACTCTTTATTTCCAGTACTTTTATTCTCATTGATATGGAGTTTAAACAAAAAGACATACTTTTCGCTCAGTATTTGTTTTCCAATGCATTACTATTTATAGTTATTAGACTACATGTAGTATTGAATTTAAATCATTGACTCTCTTATCAGAAATTCATTGATTTGGAAATATTTCACAAAATCCTTGTGTTATAAATAATTTATAACTATTTTGCAATATTATAATGTTAATTCAATAAACAACTTAATTGTAATAATTAATTTCATTACAGATAAACCAATAATAGACAGATCGCCCATTATATCCAAGTCGGCCACTGATAACGGATCCAATGGCAGACTATATTGCAGAGCACAGGCAGCTCCTAATGTGACTTTCACGTGGACTCGCGAGGGACAGATACTCCAGACATTAACCAAAGCTGTGGGCGCTGTGTCTGCAGACGCCGACAAACTGAAGAAAGGGTCGGATGTATCAGAAAAGGACATCAAATACGTGATTGAATCGACCCAACAGTTGGATTTAGTGACCTTCCAGAGCGTTCTGGTCATTATGGACGTCCAGAGTCAAGATTATGGTGCCTACCAGTGCTTAGCGCGCAATGATCTCGGTTTTGACGCCATTACCATCCAATTGAACCGAACGTCAAAACCTGATCCACCGCTGGCTTTACGAGTGATTAACATAACTGAGTCGGTAGTACAGCTCCGGTGGATACCCGGCTTTGATGGTGGTTTGGGTCAGGAGTTTAGGCTCCGATACCGGCCCACATTGAGTACCGATCCGTCCTATTCGTATAGAGATGTATTCCCATCCAATTCCACACAAATACTAATGACTGGTCTGAATGAGGACACGGAGTATATATTTGGCGTTCAGGCCCTGAACTCTTTGGGTCACTCGGACTTCACCAGTGATGTCGTCAAAGCTAAGACTCTTAAAGGTTTGTATTCATGAAAATGCTTGCATTACAAACTCATTTACTTAATAAATATTTAATTTACAGAAACTCCAGTCACGGAAACCGAGAAAATAATATCGAAAATCATGAACGAAAGGGCCGGAGATTTGCCGAAACTTATTCTTATCGTATCACTTGTGGGTAGTTCTCTACTCCTATTCAATATCGTAAGTCTTATATCAAACAAAATTGATTAATAGTTTGCATAATACTGTACTACAAGTACTGTACTGTATATATGTATACATTATTTTCTAATAAATTAATTATTTTTAGGTTTTAGTCGTTTGTTTTGTGCGAAAGCGAAGGAGAAAGCGTTATGAAGAGGGTATGTATTGATTGATTCGTTATTAAATTAAGTCTCAAAACTATTCATTCATCAAACATATTGTTAAAAATGAAATCATTTGTTAAACTCTCGTATTAATTATGAAATTCTTACTTGAATTTTAAATTACATTTAATAGTTTCCAAATTCATTAATTATTTCTTATATATTATTATTTAATTCGTTTTTTAAGTTTACTAACATTTCTCAAAAGTTTTCTCAAAAGTTTTACCGTAAAGCTAATAGCGATTCATTTTTTGATTTTTAAGTCAAATCCAATTACAGTTTGCTTTTCTCTCAATCTTTTAAAAACCCCTTGAATTGCAGTTAAAACTTAAAAAGCTATTACTTATCACATTAATAATGCTATACTCACACCGTTTGAATTATACCCTGCGAACCCCAACTAAACATAAATTCATGTTAAGAACCGACTATTCATTCATTTTCTTATTCAAGTCATTCTTATGCAATATTTTCGTACTTTTCTTTAAAAAATAATTATTTATAAAACATTTTCTAATAAAACTTTTCTCTCTTTTTCTCTCCTTTTCCTTTTTCTTATTCCCATTCATTGTGTTCACACGCTTTCCCTATCCCTCCCTATGTCTACACATATATGCATTATATCTATGTCTAAAACCATTACTAGTTTTGGAGCGTTTATGCAAATTATGCCGAAGTAAGTATTAGTCTGTATTCAATAATGACTTTGTATTCTCAATGAGTTATTATTACACGAAATATTTTATGTTATATCCCCTGAAAAAATATTTGATTAATGAATTCGACAAATGAGTTAAGATTTTTCCCTATTCTTTGTGTTTTGCCAAAAAAAGTTTTAATACTAATGAATATTCTGTTTATTCACACATAAAATAGTTTAAGAATATTTTTCATGTATCCCTTTTTGCGAAAAGTTTTCGTACAGAAACTATTTTAACTGATTTTTATTTCCCAATTCTGTTATTCTTTGCTAATTTTTTTACTGTTTTTCAAAATTCTCAAACACAAATAGACTTTTAATTTGCTGTTAAAGAATTTCAATGAGTTTTTCCTTTTGTTTTCTGGTACTAAACGTACGAAGAATTTTCGTTTTCAATTCAATTCAATGCATTCATTCCCTCTTTTCCTATGTTTTGCACTAATATTTATCGATGTTTTCACGACACTGTACTGTACTGTGTGTTAAACTCTTAAGCATTTAAATGAAGATAATTATTGAGACAATTAATTAATTATTGCTTGAATTGCATACACAGAGAGCGACGGAACAGATAGTAAGACAACCGGCAGTTCAAAGACAACGATGGAGATGTACCAGTCCTCCAACAGCACCGGCTATCACAAGGAGCACAATGAGACCTCTTTGAGCGAAGAGGACGACGAGAATAAGAGCCAAACTCACGATAATTATTCAGGAAATACTGATTACGAAATGGTATTTATTTGTTGACAATTAACTATTGTAATATATTAGCATTTTAAAACAATTACCGATTCATAATTGGTTTTCACTGATTTAAACACCGGAATTTGACATTTATTTGTGATTTATAGGAATTTTGTTATTTTATTTGCATATTTCCTGTCATTTATTGGGAATCAAAAATATTTTTTGAACCAAATAGTAATTAGCTTTCAGTAATAATTACTGTACAATGAAAATATATTTTTGAATTGAACCAGAAAACAAATAATAAGTTTGGACAATAATATACTCATCAGTTATATAAACGAGTATATTATGTGACAACACATAAAAGTCCTTTTATTGTGCTCGAAAGAAATCGTAAATAAATTGATTAGACTATCACTACATGCCTCCCCCTCAACACCATTCCCCTAATAGTGATATATTTGATATATTCTTCAATAGAAAATCAGTGAAAAACACATCAAAAACTGATGCAATCAATCAGCGGAACAATAACTATTCGTTTATATATATTTGTGTTTTGCCTTTACTTATCAAATGATGTGATTGTATAGGAAATCAGTCCGTCAGGAGTAGTGACAACCCATTCGCACGGAATCAGCACTTATTTGATTGACGACGCGATAGCGCCCTCTCAGCACTACCCGAGCACTCGGTTCACAAGTCTTGGTATGCCTTTCCACTGATTACTACTTATATATTATGTCATATTCTTCGTACCAAATCATCTCTAGTGGTCAACACTTTTCTCAATTATCTTTCTCTTTGCAATTCATCTCAAAAAGAGTTTTAAAAAACTTTAAAAAAAAAGTTTTTTCTATCAATTTTTAACAATCGTTTGAATGCTTTGCCGAAACAGTGAGTCCTGTGGGCCCCGACCTCACGACAAACACCTACTTCATTGACCGCCAGAGCGATGAATACGCGTCCGCCTTAAGAAAGAATGCATACAATCAACAGCTGGCGGTCAACAGCACCGGCAGTATCTCTCCGTCACCGCTGCCGTCGCTGCAGCCCTTGACTATTAGTCTGTCCAACAGTCAGTCCCCTATAAATCATGTCAATTATATGGGCCCTCGTATTGGCGATCACTTATCACAGCCTCAATCGGTATGTATTCCTCATAATTACTTCAAACACTAATTCCTATACTTTGTAAACAACTCTGAAATTCTGTTATTCTAACAGTTATTTTAAAAACATCCCTTAATTTATTAATAGAAATCCATTAACTATTAAAATAAATAGATTTTCTATTAATTAATGATTCATTTGAATAATTGGACTAAAATATTTATATCATTAATACATTAAGCTCCAGACTATTTTTATTTTTATTTTATTTTTTATTTTATTAATACTTAATCAGTATTTCTAAGAATTTAAATGTTTAATATTTTTTAGAAATTATTAATGTAATTAACTTTTAAATGCCATTCTAATAAAAAATATCTAAACATTTTTATACATTATTATTCATAGCAAATCTAATCTAATGAATAACTTTAAACATTTTGCATTCACTTCGCATAACTTTTTAATTAATTAATTAAAAACATTAGCAAAATTTTATATTTATTTTTATTTCCAAGAAATGAATCATTAATTAAAACGAATTTTTATTTCTATTTTGCCGTTATATCTCAAAATACCTTACATTGAATGCCATTTCACGCAAAATCCAATCCAATACAACACAACCAAACAATTTTCAAACCAAATTTCGCTACTTTTGCCTCCAATTCCCAATCGCACTGTTATGTTGTCTGCAGTT